AGCGTGTTCTTTTAATCATTTTGGAGGGGGGTCTTCTGGGGAGTTTTTGAGGTCTCATTGTTGAGATATTTTATTTCCAAAATGGCGAAAAATATTAGTTTTTGTTGTTTTTACTTAAAACGATTAAACATTGAAACTTCAATTTTGTAATTATTCTACATTATAAGCTAATTGAGTGCCATTTTAAGGTAGTGTTTTGTGGTTCAGTTTACACTCATATAGGGTAGAAATGTGGAACCCCTACATTTGTTTCGTTCAGAACTTTTTGGTGTGTACTTAAACTTTTTTCAGCACATTTCTTTTAATTACTACCAACTTTTTAATCTCTTATTGTTTTTCCTAAAGCCACTAGTTTGCCCGCAAGAAAAGAAACTCGTTTTCTAAGTAACTAAGTGACTTTTTTACAATACAAAAAATCAAATATCTTAACAGTGAGACCTCAAATAAAAAAATTATCAGGAAGACCCCTCTAAAATGACTAGAAGGGCACACTGTCAAAATGTTTTAGCATATTTACGGAACACCCTGTAATTGGGTAAAAGTTAGGTTTCAAGGCTTAAGCATTTCTTTCCAATAATCCATATTAGAAGGTTCTTGATAACTATAAGATTTTCAAGACAACGCTTATAATGTTATTGAGCTTAACTTTTTTGATAATGTGAGAAAGTAGGATTTTCGAAAATTCTTTAGGGTTTATTCACATTTATTATATTATTATTAATCAATAGGCTTAATTTGAGAAACTTAGGGTAATGCAATTGTACTTAATTAAATTCCCTTCATTTGTCAATACGTTATGCGATGTGCGTTTTCCTCTTAGCTTAAATTATAGAAATTCGGCAATTTTTGTTCTTTTTTTCGTTGTTGGACGATTTTTGTTTAACCCCCTTGCCGTTGAAATAGTTTGTTCTGTTTCAGTGATTGGCTTTACGTTTGATAGGCAATAACTGTAGCCGTGGTTTGAATTTATTGAAATTGAGAACACGTCTTGTCGTTTCTACCGACTGTACCATCTATGTTACGGCAACTACAGAAACCGTTTATAGAAAAGGTCTCTTTCCCTAAACATACATGGTGATTCAAAATTGACCTCATTCCTCTAAAGGTGTTGTCTGGCAGTGTTTTAGTAATCTGCTCAATTAACATTACGTAAATACATATTGCTTCGTAATTAATAAAAAATCCAGTAACCATGGAATTATACAAAAAGTGACAATTAAATAAACATGGATGAACAGTAAATTCGGCAGGATTCATTTAATGTCGGACTGCACTTTTTCAAAATGTCAATTATTGTCCTCATAACCTCGAATTGATATGTTGACAAAAAAATATAAATTTGAGTCTTTAACTCCAAACAAGTTAGTACCTGTGTAATCACCTTATCMACTCTTATCGAGCAGCTTCTTGTATTCGGTTAATTAACTCCTGCTCCATTTGTATCTCCTTGTTCTGTGTGTATCGCACAAATGTGGTAGGAACGTTGTTCCTCGGTATTTATTTGGTGCTTGGGAAAGTGTCAGTTAGTGTGCTCTGAGTGCCCCTGGAAGGCCCTGATTCGGTTATGTCCAATACGTATTTCTCTGTGCCCGGAACCCGAACATCTATCGTCCACTATTTTCCTAAAACCACTCTCCTCAATTTGTACCGGTGTTCAGTAAGCCATTAGTTGAATGTGTGCAACTAATGGTGTGTTGAATACGCACAGCACTAATCTTACATACGTGGTGGGAATTTAGCCCTTCCCCGATATTTATTTGGTGCCTGGGAAAGTGTCAGTTGTTGCGCAATGCTTCAGTGCCGCTGGAAGGCTCTGCTGCAATTATGTCCAATACTTGTTCCTCTGTGTCTGGAGCGCGAACATCTATTGTCGTTCATTATCTTCCTAGAGCCAATTTCTAGTGTCTTTAGCCCATTGTTGGCGTGAGTTCTTACACTTTCTGCTAGGTTACTGTGACATTTCCTCAGAACTAATCACATATCCGCAAGTTCCTGAAAGGAGCTTCAAAGTAAGTCTCAGTTTGAAAAATGATTGTTATTATTGACAAACGCTATCTACTGTAACTATTTGTTGATGAGAACAAATATCATTGCCACTTTGGCTTTTCAACAAAAACATTTTTAAAAACTTTTTTAATATTAAAAATTTTCGTAATTTGAAGCATAACTGGGACAAAAATTACAAAAAGTTCGGACCATCTTCCCTTTGTGTTACCAGAAAACCGAACCGTTAGAAATGAAACTTCCGGACCTCGAAAGAATCCTTAGTGGAAGAAGTGGTCTCTTGTATTCCAGTATGGAGCGACTGGTATATGTAAGTAAAGTGGCTCAGGCAAATGGCTGGAAATTACTTTCAAGTTTGCAAAATGGCGGCTAGAGGGCGAAATTGCAATAYCAAAGTTTAAATACGTATTTTTAGCGGTTTCAGATAGGCTAAGGTAGGTTGGAAGTACCTTCATTCTATTCTTTTAACAAACTTTCAGTTATTTCTTATGGGAGTATTATTGTTCTAGCTAGTCAAATAAAGTGGTGGGGAAAAATCAAATAACGGTTCAAAAAGTTGTTAATAGCTCCGTAATGGCTTAACCAAATTCAACGCTTAAGTTGCAATTGAATAGCTCTTGATTTACATTAACACCTACTATAAAATATTGGCCGATATCATTGCCACTTTGGCCGCCAGAGGGCGCCTTATAAAAAGTCGTCAAACTTTATCGATTTTCTTAAATTTTTTAAATAAAATTATATATAATTTTTTAGCTGCTTCGAAGGAGTATAAAAAAATAAGCAAAATAGTGAAAACCACACACCGATATATTGGTTCTAACCGAAGATATAAGCAATTTGACAATAACAATGGTATTGTCAAATTGCTTATATCTTCGGTTATAACAAATATATCGGTGTGTGGTTTTCACTATTTTGCTTGATTTTTTATAGTTTTTATAAGCAGCTAAAAAATTACATGTCATTCCATTTAAAAACGTTATTTGACTAGTTAGAACAATAATAGGAGTATTATTGTTCTAGAAATAACTGAAAGTTTGTCAAGAATAGAATGAAGGCCAACCTACCTTAGCCTGTCCTAAACTGCTAAAAATCCGTATTCGAATAATCCGTATTCATTTCCCTGAGCCCCTTTACTTATATATTTTTTTACTTGAAATCGATACGACTGATAGTTTGTGAGACATGGCCGACCACCTCTCTTAGTGGCCCACCCTGTACAGTAATTTTTTTTCTTTTTGAAGAATTTCAATATGCTTTCAATTAAACATGGGACAATTTTAAAATAAGGCTTAATAACAAAGTTGAAATTAGATTTTCAACTGTTATTATCTTCTAGAAATTATCGAAAACAAAATTCAATACTTTGTCCTACTCTCCAAGTGACCCCTTAAAAAGAATGACGCCAATTTTGAATCACCTTGTATTGTTCAAATTGCAAAAATGTGAAGATTTGCGAATCGCCTATGACGCCCTAGTTTGACGCATCACTCTAGATTGAATACTTCATTGAATTGTAAGAGCCGACGAAATAGAACTAACAGTCCAGACTCCACAAACCGCCGTCCACACAAAATGTCTCACTAACGGAATCACATAAATCACTGAACAATTCGTAAAATAATGCTGTGTGCCTGGAGTAAGCGTCAAAAACTGCGTCAAAGGTTCACGTGCTTTGGATATTTAAAATTTCCTAATTTGATTTATTAATATTTAACTAATAGGCCGGGTCTAAAACGTCTTGCAAATTTGTCTTCCCAGTCGTCCGCTGTTAAATTCCTCTTATTAATGGCTTTGTGGATTGTCTTCTGCCATTCTATTTTGGGTCTGCCTCTTCTTCGTCTACGCATTTGTAGCCAACAAATAAATAAAAAATTTTAGAATTTGTTTAGTGTTGATGTTGGCATTCGTTGTACATGCCCATACATAACATGTTAGGTTTTACCACTTACGTACTGATCCCCATCCATTCGCTATTTTACTACATTATTCCTAATTCGATCCTTTCTCGATATACATAAATACTTTCTCCTCTCTTCCCTCTCCAGTACTTCCAGTCTATTCTTCTGCGTTTGACTTACTTTCTGCCTCTGCTCTATTCAATAAAGTGCTCTTTATCATTGTTTCGTGAATTGTTTTTGGCCTGAAGATTTGTTTTCGATATCTCTTTGACTCTTGTCAATTCCTGTGATGTCGAAAATGGAACATCCAAGTATACGTATTCTTGGCGAGATGGAATTTGTTGCCAATTGTCAAGCACCAGATTGTTTGCACTTGTTAGATTGTTTTGCACCTCTTTAAAATGTATCCAACTAGGTTTTTCTTCTTAGGACGCCGTCTCCCTACGAAGGTTTGCGATCTAACTGGCTAAAATTGTGCGTGAAACCGCACCTCTGAAAATCCGTATAGATGTCTGTCCGAACCTTAGGCACAGATCCTTCAGCCATGAATTCTGCCGCTTGCTCACAGATCGTTTGCCCTCGATCTTTCTTTTGATCACGAGTCGAAGGATCTCGTGCCGCTCGTCTTTCATAATCTGTTCGATGTATTGGAGCTTTCGCTTCTTGATGGTGGCGATCAGTTCTTTGTCTTTGCCCATTCTCCTCAGTGCTTGCTCGTTGGTCACCCTTTCCATCCAGGATATACGCAGTATAGGGCTTATAGGGAAGTTTATGTCCTTACTTACGGACAGCACTTGCTCCACGACCTGGCTGTTAACTTGGAGGATGTGTTAAATTAATTTGAATTAATGAAAATTAAACATTAAATTAGTTTTCAAATTAATTTAATGTATTGGTGGTGTCTTGGAGAGCACAATCACCTTGGTCTTGGCAACGTTCATGTGTAATCCGTACAGTAATTCAAAGTCAAGAAATTGTCATTCAAAGCTGAGAGAACTTTCAAGAATCGAACGTGTTATAAACGTTAGACCCCTAATTTCCTACGAAAATTTTAAGCGTTCCTAGAAATAATTGATTGTAATTTTGTTTCAGATTGGATTAACAGTCTTTCTGATGGTTTGGTTTGGTCTGGGAAACTACTGGATCTTGCGCATCAAGTATCCCGACTATACACCAACTCTGTTCGAACCGAACAAATGGTGCCACCACACACTCTATGTTTTCGGGCTTGTGCATCTGTGTATAGTGTATTCAATGTTGGGTATAATAATTGTTCTGGTGCTAGTCTTGGCGCTCTGTCAGATTCTCGGATGCCAGTGGCTCGGTCCGTCTAGATATAAATAGCAAATTCCCCCCGACTATTTCGAGTTGTGGGATTTGCCAAGAGCTTATCGCCATTAAATGGCTCTCCTTGTACAGTTGAATTAAGTAGTTCTAATTAAATATTACTTTCAAAACAGACAAGGGACTAAATTTTGAAATATAGGAAAAGCTTTTTATTAATATACATTTTGAACAGAGTTCTCTTTAAAGAGCCTCTGCTTCGATTGACAATATTTCAAGACCGTCAACCTAAGATAACAGTATAAAATCAAACATAAATAATATTATTTATCAGAATTTTTTAATCTTAAAAACGTAAATATTTTCGGCAGCATCAAGCTTTTTATACTGTATGATTATACCTAAAATATCATAAATGCGTGTTTTACAAATACTTATGAAAAATGTTCCGGCATATTGCGCTGAATAAGAGTCAATAATATTGGGTGCATAATATCATGAAACTGGCGAACAGGTTTTATATTTTACCAGCGAAAACCAAGGAAAGGAGCCTGCACAGTTTTAGTTTGTCTTAGAATTGGGTAACGAGCAGTAAACAACCAAAATTAATTGTCAGAAAAAGATACAGTTTATACTTACTTCACGAGCAACGAATTTAAAATTAGTAGGATGAAAATCCATATGTGAATTATGACAACAAACTTATTTTCCATAATTATCTTTAGTAAGACACTGCCGAATGAGTTTTTCAATAAAACTCAAATTACTACACGGTTCTAAATTACGCATACAGGAACCAAGATAGTAATTTTGTTTATGTGTTTTGATCAATTATCATTTCAGTATTTCCGAGTAGAATAGAAATTAGTTTATATTATTTAAATATGGATTCTAAACATCGAATAATAACCATTATGTACATAGATGGCATCAGGAAAATATTCAGAAAAGTTTGCTTCATGACTTATAATAATTGAAAACAAGCAAAAACGAATGAATGGCCAATCGTTAATTAATGGGACCTATTTCTAGACTTTATCCAACCCTGTAACCTTTCAAATTAAGAAAGTATCTTAAAAATGCTTTCACGACCAGCCATTCCTTTAAATTGGTGAGTTCCCGGTATTTTTCTCTGAAAACTATTGCTTTAAAGAGTTAATATTTTGAGTAAGCCACTCGAGCTTGTTCGAAAGACTGGCTGAGGCGCGCAAAAAATATATCCACGACTCCCGAAAAACTCATCAGTTTTAGAAACAGGTAAATCATTATTTGTATAAAAATAATTACTTTTAAAATTCGACCTACGCTCTGATGATGTCAACAAGGAGTTTTAAAAATTGTGTTGTTTATAAGTATAATCGTCAAAGCAAATTTTCTATATAAAAAATTGATGAAATTCTGAGGACCAACAAAGGACACAAAGGTAAGATGACGCGCAATCTGTAAAAGCTATTTTCTGAGCATCGTATTAGGTATCGTATCTAATAATAGATTTGGTAGTAAAAATCCCCCAGCATGATGGATTTGTAAGAAATGGAGAGAACATGGAACTGTAATGCGCGTGATTGGCGCAGGGTTACTGAAGAAAACAACATAATTAGAAGACGCTAATCTCATCGCACATCTTCAGGAAAACCTTTTTTTGTCGGCTGTGGGAGCTGCATGGATTGACGAGAACTGTGCAGCGTCGAGTAAGTAAGTAAGTAATAATTCGAAGTGAGCACTTGGGATGTCGTGTCGCTACTCCGAAACCATTTTTAAGTCAATAAAATAAACAAGAAGTAGTTGGATATGCCATGGAGTTGTTGATAAAAGAGCAGAATTTTTTGAATACTGTGATTTTTAACGGCGAAAAAGTGTTTCAGTCCTCACATACTGTTCAAGTTTGAGTTGTTCGGCCTCCAAATTCAAGATTTAATGAAACATATACAAGAAAACGTCAGAGCAGTGGAATATTTTTCGTCAACGTCTGAGCTTGGATAAGTAGCCGCGGACCAGGAGTTTGTCGGAATATTGACGGCAGGTTGAACAGCAAATCTGATAAACTTATTAGAAAACGTTCCATCAGCAAACCTATGCTGTTTAAGCAGCTGCAGCCCTGTTTATAAATCCAGAATAGTGAAAAATTSGTTATTTGAAAATGAAATATACTGTTTACCCTGGTGCTCGAGGAGCCCTGATTAAAATCCAATAGAGAATGTGTGGGGATACATAACTAAGAAGATGCACAGAGAAAAACTGCTGATGCAAAGGCCGCAAAACTGCCATTATGGAGAAAACTTGAATAGACCTGGGGTCAACTAACACCATAATACAGTAGCACCTTAACTTGTTTGATGCCCACACGCCAGAATTAAATTTTTAATGCTAATGGGGCAGCAATAAAATATTAGTTTTTAATATATCTTGTTATCATAATTGTTTTCAGATACCTATTGTTTTCTCTTCTGTTGTTCTCAATACTATTTATGTTAATCAATTAACGTATCATGATTATTATTAGTTTTTAGATTTTTAGAATAGAATTAAGTTTCGAAAATAAATTGTTTGCTTTTGTTATTTATTGCCCAGTTTCTGAACCATTTTGTGACATAGATACGTATATTTGACGTATTTTACAAATCGTGATTTACCAAAATCGGGAAAAATCGCCTTTAGGACTCGTCTACTGCGTCGCCGACTATGTTCGTGACACAAATACGGTTAAAACCAGCAGCAAAATTTCGAGAGACTGGTTCAAAGGGAAATTAAAACAGGAATATTCAAGAATCGAGGTCAATTGAATCAGAAGCAGCAGCTGTTTGGCGTGAAGCTAAAGTTAAATTTTTCATCAGTTGTACTGTACAAACTGATGTTATAAATTAATTTTCATATTCATTTACATATAAACGTTATCTGCTGTGAAACATATATTTATTGTAAAATTATAAAGTTTTATTTTGAGTATAAACATGTAAATCAACGTATCAAGGAAAATTGCATAGCAATGGAAAGCGGCTACAAACTATTATACAACAGATCAGAAGCCGCCGATATAAACCAATATCAGGCCGTAGCGGACAGTTTTTACTGTAGAGCTAAAAATAAGCAAAATATATAAATGGAAAATAATGCAACGCTTTAATCGTTAATATGACTGTTTCTTAAGAAAATAGTTTACATTCTGATCAATACGATCTCTTTTCCTCTGGTAGCTAGACTAGAACTTTGACGGTGTCCGGACGCCTACTTTTAAAGCTGGATTCATATTTATCAACGCGTGGCGTGCCCAATACGTAACGAGACAAACATGAAACGGATAAGTATATTCACATCACTTGCGACAAATACGAGTTCAGAGGTCCTTTAGAGTCGAGCATGAGTCCGCACAATGTTTTACAATTTCTCACTTGAGGAGCAGTGATGGCAATTTTACTCGAAGAGGAAGAAAATAAATCGGGCCAAAAGCAAATAAAACCGGGGAAACGGAGGTATTCTATTCATCGCGTGTGCAATACAAAACGGAAAATGGCAGGAGGCACTTTATACGAGCTGGTAGACGATGAAAATTGGTTTTTCAGATAGGTACCCTGGAATGTATAAATTTGGGTTCGAAACTATTGTATTCGAAATTTCATCAGTGATAAGTAAGAAAATCACCATTTTGAAAGTTTTTATTGCTGAGAGAGAAATTAACTGAGAAAAAGCATCCAGGCTTGCACGTACACGGACCGGAAAAGTTTCTCTGCGGGCCCGCATGGCTAAGTTTGCTAAAAATGAATTTGCTTCTGACGTATCAAACGCACATACGAGTAATAATATTTCTTACATTGAGGGCACAGCAATTGCTGATAAATATGAATCGTGCCTAAAACGATTTTGTTGGTACATTAATAAACAAACCGCAAAAATGAACGACTCCGGTCACCAGAGTCACCACAGTTGCTTAATTTTTTATCAATTTTTGGAAGAACAAACGATTTTTGTTAWTTGAAAAAAGTTACTCGTAAGGACGTAAAAAGTTACTCCTCTAGGAATTTAAATAAAAGAGTTAAACTTGAAAAGCGCTTCCTTTTCTTTTTGATTTTTCCCAGTGCGCGCGCATGAAACATAGTGGAAATTGAAAAAAAATGCTTAAATTCTTCGCATTGCAGCATAAGATTTTTCAGGGATTGTGTAAAACTCGCTACTAAATAAAAGGCGGTGAATTTAAAGCGCATGACTGTCGCCAAGTGACCTGCTAACACGTTTGCTTCCATTCGCTCTGGATTAAAAGCAAGGTTAACTAAAGCTCGGTAGAGATGCATGCGATTTGTCGCATATTTTGAGGTGTGGTCTGGTTTGTTATATTTGTTCCGCAACTCCAAAACTCCAGTTATTTTTCCAATATGTACCATTCAACTGCTGGTTGTCCTGTGCAGATTGCCGATCCCTGGTCTAGGTATTACCCATTCTTTGGCATTAATTAAACAAGGTATCTGTGGAAAAAACTTAAAATTTTACTTTTAATTTCGACAACTTTACTTGGTTTTCGATCTGCGCCACGAGTTCGGGTCGGTGTAAAAATAAAAGAGCTACTTAAAAAAACTAAATATTGTTATATAAATAATACATTTGTTCATTTGCATCTTACGAAATTAATTAATTACATTTTTTACCCGCTAAAGCTATAACAATCAAACGGATGGGTCTCCAAACAAAATGAAGCAAAACTGATGCGAAATGAAAATTATAAGCAATTTTTTCCGTTTTATATGCCATTTTTTGGAGATTTTGTAAGTCATCGACAATAAACTAATTAATAAAAGTATTTCTTCCCATTATTGAACCAGAAATATTTGGGGATTGCTACTTGTAGAAGGCATCTGAAAAGCTGAAAATATTTGTATATTATAAAATGTTATGTTAATATTTTGAGAATTTGTTTAATTTAGTAGTCATTTTACTGTCGATAAATTATAAATAAAATCGACGGTTCCAGCTAGGTCCAGCTTTAACACAAATAATGTGGTATTAGAAGAAATTAGTTTACGGTATAAAGAGGATTAGTCATGTTAGCCGACATCGGAGACACTAAGGTATTACGTTAATTCTATATAATCAGATGTATAGGATATCCAATTATAAATGTACTTAATGTGTGGTGTGGGTTGAAACCTCAAAAGAAATGCACACTTTTTAATTATTTTATTTTGAAACTTGACTTCTTTTAAATTTCTGTTCAACTTTTCCTGATAACATTCCTCATTTTTTAGAACCCTTCCATTCCCACCGACATCCGACATTTAGAGCTTTTAGCTAATTTAATAAAATGTAGTAAATGTTGATAACTCTCTTCAACTTCCGCTTGCAAGAGCAGTATTATTTACCTAATTTGTCATATTATATATCCCAATATTGCTCAATCTATTAAGATACTCAATACTTTCAGGTTGGTACACCGTACATTTTATGCACATTCTCTGATTTTGAAATTTTAAAAATAATTTTTACGAAAAAAATTACTGCTAGCTAATGTAGATATTAATTTAAATGAGAGAAAATCTTAATATTACTGAGGAGAAATATTTGTACATAATATGCAATATGGCCATAAAACTATGTATGAATTGCGAGGATACGAAAAAAAAAAGAATTAGGCATGGGCGGTAGCACTGGGAATTTACAGGTGTTGACGCAATGATATCGAATGAATTTCAACACCCTATACATCTGTTGGGAAGCATTTTTGAGTTATCGTTTATATAGGGTGTCCGGAAAAAGTGCGACCACCACTTATCGAGGCAAATTTACAGCAAAACTGAGTGTGACAAGTTCCTATATCGCTTTTGCGCAAACTTATTATATATGATCACTGGTATTCTCGTTCAAAAGTTGAGATTTATCCGTTATTGCTAAGGGGTTGAACTCATCCATGTCATGTACTGTCAAGTACGAAAATAGGCAGGTAAGAAATCCCCTAAAATTATTAAAAGCCCCTGAACTAGGTGGAACTTAGTTAAGCGGATGATAAAGTTGGACGGTCCAGCAGATTAGTTTTAACTGTCGCTTAAGTATTTAAGTGACACTTAGCTAAGTGACGCTTATGATGAAGACGGTGCAGTTGGCTCTAAGTAGAGTAAATAATACTCCACTCAGACCGAGTGCAATCTTTTGTTGATTATTCAAGAACATTGCCATACATTTAAATTAGAATCGCAAACAGTCCAATAAAACAAAATATAAACAATATTTTACGTTATATCACAACGACACATGACATTCGTAAAAATT